CTGCTCGATTTTGGAATTTTTGCAATGTGTCTTGAAGTCCCAAACCACAGTTATCCCACAGGGGAGAACAGTAATCAAAATGAGGCTGAATTAATGTTTTGTAGACATCATGTAAGGTTTTGTGTGGAACATAAGGTTTTATTCTTTTAATTGCTCCTATTCCAGCGCTAATCTTATGGCATACAGAATCAATATGTTTCTCCCAACTTAATTTTTCATCTAGATTTACACCTAGACATTAAAATGTATTGGTTTGTGGGACTGGGATTTTGTTAATCTCAACGGGTCTATTTCCTATTTTATGATTTAGATTATGCGTAGATCCAATAAACATGACTTTTGTTTTTTTCCTATGATATTTTAGTTTGTTTTTAGCAAGCCATTTATGAATACTGGAAAGGTCCATATTCAAATTGTCAATCAATGTATCGTAATCATGCGAAGAGGAAGATATCTGAGTGTCGTCGGCATAAAGACATGGGGTTGTCCTTTCTAGAATATCAGGCATATCATTAATATATAGCAAAAACAATAATGGACCAAGTATGGATCCTTGCGGAATTCCGCATATTATTGTTCTTGCAGAAGAAGTTTGATCATTAACAGAACACACTTGCTTTCTATTCCTTAAGTATGATTGGAACCATTTTAATTCAATGTCGTGAATTCCAAACTGGGTTTTAAGCTTCTCCAATAATATCTCGTGATTCACCGAGTCAAATGCTTTACATATATCCAGAAAAACAACTCCATTTATTTTGCCTTCATCCATGTCTTGTAGCCATTGATCACACATTTGTATAAGAGCACCTAAGGTTCCATGTTTTGGTCTAAACCCGGATTGAAATTTAGACAGAAGCGCATGTTTATTCAAAAAGCTATATATTTGAGTAAAAACTTCCCCTTCAAATATTTTACCTATTATGGGAAGAATTGAAATTGGTCTATAATTTTCGCATTTACGCTTATCCTCAGATTTGTAAATTGGTATAACTCTAGCTAATTTCCACTCATCTATATAAATACCAGTTCTAATCGATAGGTTAAATATAAAAGTTATAGATGGAGCAATAAGGGTTGATGTCAGTTTTAAAATATTCGCAGGTATTCCATCCATACCTGTCGCTTTTGAGACATTTAGTTTTTGTAGGCGCTTGGAAACACTATCTATAGTAATATCTGCGAAGTGAAAATTTTCTTTAGGAAGAAGCACAGTACTTTCATAAATTACTTGATCATTTAAAGCATCAGTGTTTTGACATGCTGATTCAGCAGCCATCTTCATTCCAATATTTATAAAATATTCATTTAATGTTTCAGTAATAGATTTATCATCAGAAATAATATCATCATTTACTTTCAGTTTATTAATATTTGCATTCTTATGCTTTCTTCCTAAGAGCGAATTTATCCAAGCCCATCCACTTTTACTGTCTCCCATTTGAGAGCTTGCCTGGATTTTATCACAAAAGTACTTAGATTTTGCTTTCCGCATGTTTATATTTACTTCATTACGTAGTGTTTTATACAATTCCCACTGTGACTCCGAATCATATTTTATGGCCTTTTTTTTGTGATAGTCCCTTTTTCTCATAAGTTCTTTAATTTGAGGATTAATCCATGGGACAAGGTTATTCCTTATTCGCTTGTGGCGCAGAGGGGCATGTCTATTAAGTGCATCTAATAATAGTGATTTCCAGACTTGCCAACATAAATTGGGATCTCCAAACTGATAGACCATCTCCCAAGGCAATTGAGACACATCCCG